TTGTATTTTTGCCCACAAATTTTGCCCAAATCTTAAACGTTTCAATCTCCATGCATATGATAAATAAGTATGAAGTAATATTAAAGGCAGTGTCAGGGAGTTATGTACATACGTAACGTTACCTTTCTACCTAAATCATGGCTTGTCTTACTCCTCCATTAGACGTAACTAATAACTATATTAACTAATAATCATTGAATCATAACTACGTATTCCACATTTTATAAGGTATGTACGAATTAAAAGGAACAAACTTGAGAAAAACCAAGCTATATATGGATCAGATCGAGTATGGACAACATATATGATCTTATTATTTGTAGTCAATAGAAATACATATATGTCTATAACTGAGTTCCTTTCGAGTAACGCAATCTTGACGTGTTATATATAATTAAATGGCATGGACATGAAAAAATAAATCGAAACAATATATGTGTATGTAATTATCCATGATCAAGTGTAAATAAGCATGCAAATAAAGCTTGAATAAACGTCATCTTCATAGTTAGTTAAATTGAGAGGATGGGAGTTGTTAATTGATGTACAAATCTGTAAACATTTTAGTTTCTGAAATCACCTAATAAAACCTGCTTAACCAAGATGATTGTCAAAGGTGGTTCAACATCTATGAATTTATACATAACATAAGAATAAAATAGCTACCTAGCAGCTTGTGTTGGAAATTGAGAAGCTCCAACAAATTAGGGTTGTTATCATTGGTAAGTATGGTAACAAAGACATTGTTTGGTTTGGTAACAATACTTGAAAAGTTAAGAAACGGATAAATTAATTATTTGAAACAATCAAAATGATGATGATACAAGTGCAGTATTTGAAATTTGATAATTTACTAAAATTAATCTGATGATCTGATAAGTTAATTTTTGCTACGAATAATGGAGTAAACTATAAGGTATAATCAACTCGATCTTCGCATGCATCAAAATTGTCAATTTAGTCTTGATTTTATAAATCATAGAGTCCATAGTAACGCATAACAAAAGTCAATTCGCCTATTAACCTTAAAATTAATAGACACTTAATTATAAGTTAAGTGATGGACTGTTACTAACTAAAACTTCAATTAAATTAATAGGTCTAAACGTGGTTAATTTGCAACGTACACTTAGCTTGAGAGCTTATCACTTCCTCTAACAGGACTAGCTTGTGCGCTTTAAGGACTAGCTTATAGGACTAGGGCTAGCCAGCTAGCTTAGGGCTAGTGCATGGACAAGATGCTCCTCTTACGTTAATGCATAGACGAGGCATGAACACATGCAATTCAATACTTGTGCATGTGTCGTAATTAATGGAGCACATTTACATACATACCCTAATGCTTAAAGTCATCCTATTGATATGGGCGAATATATGATTTCATTCATTCATCAAACTTTTGCAAGAATTATTGACAAGCGTGTAGAATTCACAAGAATGTTCTCAATTTCTTACTATCTTTGTATATATGTACTATCCAATTTATCAGTTGTCATGTTAACCTTTTAAATTACTTACATTAAGCTAACAATGTACGGAGTACCTATAAATTTGGTACAATACGATCATTTTTTTTTTAAATTCCGCGAGGATGAAAAAGGTAGCTTTCACTTTCTTAGACTTGAACATGAAATTGAACTTTATTGTTTCATACTTCCATGTGCCTGATTATATATATTCATTATAATTCAAAATTTGGGATGAAAGTAGATATGGGTAGCTGAGTTGAGTTGTTCATTAGGAGCCAGGTTTAATTCGCATTCATCGGGTTGTTTTAATTTAATTTGTTCTATTAATTAATTCTATTTTTAGTAGCTAAGCTAGTGTTCAAGTTAGGTTCAAATGATTTAGATCAAATAGTGAGGTACACATCAATCTTGGAAATTTAATTTAGATATCACCCTACTTAATTGCTACTCCGTTATAGATAAATCCGTAAATTCGCTAACAATGCAAGCTAAGGTTTTGTTTACATCTAATTATCTACTTAATTAATTTAATTTGTTTTAATTTAATTTAATTTAATTTAATTTGTTCTACTTAATTAATTCTATGCATGGCTTGTATAGTAAATTAGTAATATGCTACATAAGACAAATATGATTACAATATATAGGTTCTGTTTTATGGTATAGAACAATTGCATATGACTTATCTGAGCCTACAATAGCTACAACTAACTACTCTTATTATACTAAGATTAAGAATTTCTTACAAACTAGCAAGAAAAATCATATATAAGCAATTAATATGCCCCAATTACTAAAACAACAATTAGAAGTGCCAAATGATTTTGTTAGCTTATGGTTGGCTCATTACCATTAGTCTTTCAATCTAAGTACAGCCTAAGTATATAATTCCTAGTCTACGAGAAGGGTAGTAGGAAGTATTCTTCATTAGCTAGGAATGGGCCGAGCGAATTGAATGGCATGGTGCTGATAACTTTTGATCTTTTATATGTCAATTCATACGAATTGAGTAGCCCTTAGAATGTCTGTGCGTTTAGATTTAATTGCCACGATACTACTAGCTTAGTCTAAATTACTAGAGGTATATTATTAGCATGCATGATTGTTAATACGAATGGAGTGGTAATTTTATATCAAATAATATTTTATTTAAACCATTAAACCAATTTTAACATTTAGTATTAATAAATAATACAAGAAGAATAAAAAATAGAATAATGTCACAGCTAGAGCTGGTCGAATTTGGCGAAGAGCTATCTACTTCATGTGTAAATGCATGGCAGCATAAACATAATTAGCCAGTGTATGTAGGTGTAAGGTGTGAACTGGTTGATTATAGAAAGAAGAAAAAAAAAAAATAACAATATTCTTAAGCATTTATTGAAATTAATATACAATCAAACAAAAACCTACATCACTATATTCTTTCATTTATTAAAAAATAATTTAGATTACCACCCCATAATTTATTATTTAATCGAGATTTTAATTTTATCTTATATATCAGTATATGTGCATTAATAATGTATAAATGTATAATAGTATAACACCAATCAACGCATCATTCTGTGACGAGTTACTAAACAAAATTGGTAATGGCCTAATGGATAATGGCTACCGGATCACTAATAACCAGTGACTTATTGAGACAAAGAGAAGGTCCGACAATCACGGGAAGAAATGGAAAATGAGTAGACAAATTTGAATATGATAGGTACAATTGGTAAAATTACCGATTGTTAAAGGGGGCTCCACTAATTAAGCCACAAATTTAACTTTTTCTAAGGTTGAAAATTCGTATATTGGTTGACCATCTATTATTTCTCATTATAATATTAAAACTAACTGCTTCTTTGACTCTTTTTTTTCTTTATAGTTAATACAACTACGTACAAATTACGCACTCAACTTTTGATATAAACAGTAGCATGTCATGGCGTAATGGACCGTATAGTGTTTGCATCATGCGTACAATTATTGGTAATTAAGTAAACTAGTAGAAAATTAAAGGTAGTATTTGTATCTAATTTGTTTTCTGATTGGATTACAAGTATGTAAGAACAAAATTAAGGATGTGTGTTCTTTTTCTATTTTTCTACATTTATTGTTTTCTTTTCTCCAAAAGAGTTTGGCCTATAAAAGTTGGAAATTAATGTTTTTAACTTTTAGCATTTATAAAGAAGCTAAGAGTAGTGACTTAATTGAGAATTTTGAAATACAGGACATAGTTTTGACTTGAATTGATCCTTGACCATCCTAGAGGGATGGATAGTGTGATTTCACACCTGGTCGCTTTACTTAAAATAAAGTGTTTAGTCCGATTTAAATAAGATATGCTTCGAATCTCCGATCTTATTCAATTTGATGTCATTGTTTGATCAAACTTTTATCGTATTTTTATACAATTGTATAAGAAAATTAGATTTTCAAATGAGTTCTTGTTAGATTTATCCCAAATATCATTAATTTTATTACTACAATTAAAAAATAAATAAATAAATAAATAAATAAATTGGTACAGAGTAATAAGTTAATTAATGATAACTTTCAAAAAAAAAAAAAAGGTTAATTAATGATAAATTTAAGCTCTTGCATGGCCTAATATGATCATTTAACATCCACGTACTTACGTAGTATATGTATTTTTGTATTAAGATGAAGAATAATGAAGAGAACAAATTCTTGACTTGGACAAATAATCCAAATTAAATAAATAACTCATCATATGAATAGGATTTGAACCAAAAATAACCCATTTACCAATTATGTGCAAATTGTTTATTTAGATTTTATTTTTTTATGATATCAAGGTATATTATCGGTCATTATAGTATTATCTTATACGGTATTATTTTGTATCATCAAACATTCTTGCGAACATAGAATGAATGTGAAAAGTGATTTTTTTTTTAAAAAAAGGTAAGAAAAATAAACATTAGGAATCCCAAATATGAAAAGTGATATATCCAACCCTTATTAGTACCAATATCATCCTCGACTCCTTGAGTTCACGATATGAAAGAATTGCCTTGTCTTCTGCTCCGTATTTATTACACTCTATATTAAAGTGGTAAACATTAAACAATAAGCATATGTCAAATGTTAACAACGTCAGTCAACTTGTAAGTTTATCATGCATGTCTATACTAATACCAATTAGAACCGCATTTGGGGTAACCAAACTAATACTGTATCTTATTATGTAAGATCTTATCAAATCAAACTTAAAAGGTACCTTTATCCATGTTACAAATCAATATATTTTCTAGTAAATTCATGATCAAAACTAGTTAAGTTTGATGCGAAAAGGCTAAACGCAACTACTTTTCATGGAAAAGGGGAGTAGTATTTTGAGAAAGGCAAAGGAGATACTCCACGAGCGACATATATACGCAATTAGTGTGATTGGTTAATAGATTTTAGCTGATTTATGACTAAACATTGTGTTTTTGCTTATTTGGTCCCAAGAACCCACATTTTTAAAAGTAATTTCATTTTGAATTATAATTCTATATTTTTTGATGAGTAGAATTTTTTTTTTTTTTTTTTTTTTTTTTTTTTTTTTTACAAAAATACAAGCTTAATATAAGAGCCCTACCGCCCAAGGGGAGGAGGCACGTGACAAAATTGATGGGCTAAGAACTCTACAAAAGCAGACCATTTGGCCCATTTTAATTGTGTTGCAGTAATGGGCCTAATGGCTTGAACATTCATTAAGAGAAATTTATAACAAAGAAGACAAAGGTAACATAATACTAATTACAAAGTATTTCCTCTACGCCTCTATAGATACTGTAAAAGTCAAGTTGTTGTAAGTAAATATCCAATAAACATAGGACATGCGATTATATTTCTTATTATGGATAAAATTATATTAATTGAATAGACTTATTACATGTAGTGTTTTGGCTTTTTCTTTTGCCAACAAAAACTCTTGGAAGAAATGTGAATTATAGTACCACCAAAAGTACGATCTTCTTTTAGCTCTAAAGAGAGCATAAAAAGATCCAATTTCATCATAAGTTCATAACTCTTTTATTGTTTAATTTCTCTCCCTTTGCCAAAATTGAAGGTTCCAAGCCTAGTCATAAACTAAAGTTCTACAAATCTCAAAATACAATGCCTCCAATTAACCTTATTTTTTACAAATGCAAAGACAAATCAAGTTTCATTTCCATCTCTTTATGACAATCTCTCCCAAAAGCCTCCATATTCTTTTTCAACACTTGCATTGAACTTATATTATTGGGCCCACCAAACCTCAACTCCCTTTGCCAATTCCCCATATTTTGCTCATGGGCCTCTTCACAACATGATGAGTATGGATTAATTGGGCCACTCCCACCATTGCTATTATAAACCACCATATTCGGAAAACGAGTCGGCCCACCGGGCCCAAATGGGTCACAAAGTTGATTATTAGTAGGAAAATGAGACATGTTTGAAGCATGGGAGGCAATGTACATTGGTGGTGGGGGTGGGCTACTAAGAAGGGCCATATGGGGATGTTGCTGGTGGTTGCCGGAAAACATTAGCGACGACATAGACGATGGTGGCGAGTACGCGTTGAGGAGAGAAAATTCAGTTGCCCTCTTGGCCTTTCTTGCTGCAATCCTCTCCTTTTTGTGAGCATTTTGATGGCCTCCTAAAGCTTGTGAGCTATAGAATTTCCTTGAACAGAACATACAAGGGAATACTTTGGTCCTTTCTTCCATATTGTTGTTGATAGTATCACACTCTTGTTTCTCCATACCTACACAATTTTTTTAAGAACAACTTAGTAAAATCATAAAGTATATGTAAAATACATTCATATGTACCAAATTTGTGCTACAAGTCACAAATTATGTAAAATATGATCGTATGTACCAAATTTGTGATACAACAGTAACGTTGACATATTAGGCCCAATGGCCCATCAACACTTTCTTCGTTTGTTTAATATTAGTGATCAAATGTTCCATAAGGAGTTAAGGACCATAACCAAGATAAAGCACTTGATTAGTTGAATTGTAATGTAACAACAAGTGACACTTTTACCACAAAAGCACATACATCTATTTTCTACGTAATTGACATTGCTACCTTACTAAATATTAAATATTAAGCAACATCTAACATCCTCACCATAAACGTTTTTGTGCCCTGTCCTACTAAGATTGTCCCGTACTTCTTTGTCTGTTTTCTATAGAGTTGATTCATTTGATAGCATGTGAAGGGGGATTGTTCTTTTGTAGTTGCACATGGGTTGTTAATCGGGGCGGGGAATGTTCCATTTTAGGAATAGGGAAAACTCGATTAGTATAACAAGCAATCTTAGTGGGATAAAGCGAGTATGAGAATACAAAACAGTCACACATGCATAAACATATAACAAAATAAAATGAAAATTGATAAAATAGAATTAGATAGAAATATGAACCTTGAAGATATATAAGCAGGGGATCAGACTATAGCTAGTACAGAACAAGGCAAAAAAATCTCTGAACTCAGAATTATTAGGTGTAAATAAGTGTAATGTTATGTAATGTAGCAGAAGAATTTAGAGAACAAAGGTTTGTAATTTGTATAGTTTATGAATTGAAGGCAAGTAATTTTAATTTTTGTTGTGTTATATAAATAGGAAGAAAAAAGGGGAGGGTGAAGTTAGTAGCAAAGCAGAAGAAGGGGATGAATGTATGGGCTTAGGAAACAGAAGAGATAAGACAGAGAGATGCATAGACAGTACACTCAAATGCAGTTGTTCTGCATGTCAGTCTCAGAAGAGATTGGTGGGTTGTAATGTTGAGAGTTGTGTCAACTGAATGTGTGCATGATATGAATTGGGAAATGGAATTTAGCTCTTTCTCTCTCCTTTTCTATCTCTCATCTTTTTAGTACTCAGGACACTAGTAGTCTGACATTCAGAGCAATGCTCGACTCATTTGGTAAGACTCTTATTAAGTACTCGTACTCTGGACACTAGTATTTTGACATCGTGTAGATGTTTGAATCTTATTAAGTGAAGGTGCATGAAAGTGGAGATCTTCGGCATCTATTCCTCATATTTTGAAGTGTCTGTCTCCGAAAATAATGAACTTAAAAAAATCGTGGGTGTTGACCTTGAATTCGTTTATTCCCATATTATATAAGTTAAAGAATAAAATAGATACAAAAAAATAAGGAAAGAAAGAGTACACTAGTAGTCTGACATGCTATCTGTTTTACTTAACTTTGAGTTAATTTCTTTTGCAGGTGCATTCGATAGTGCATTAGTGCCCACTTCTTCCTCGTTCCATGTCTTTACTTTAGTAGATTGGGTTTCCAACCATCACCTTGAAGAAAGGTATATTGACTTGTCTTATTGAATGAGTTTAGTTTTGTGTACGACTTTTTATTGTCAAGGGGAATGATACATTATAATTTATAAAGGGACTTGTAACTTAAAGTTTTAGAATTTAAAGTTTGAAACTGATCTGATTTGATATTGATGAAATCTAACTGATTTATAACCCGATTGACTCGAACCAATTACATTAGATAATAAGGCCATCACAAGTAAATGATTCACACCTTACATAATTTTGACATAACACTTGATTTGCCTCGAGAATTTGAGATTTGAACCAAATTGTGTGACGCAAGGAGAGCTAACACTCGATGTGAACCCGAATATTAAAAGTATTGAACTTAAACTTGACTGGAGGAATACTAGAAAGTTGATTAAAGCAAGCTATATCAGTTTGCTATTGTGTGTACTTAAATAAACTCAAATTCAATCTTATGTATTAAATATCAATCTAAACCTAACTCATTATACTAAAAGTCCCAATTTTAACTTGCCCTATTATTGATCCAATGCGAGACAACTTGTAATCCAATTACAGTCAAACTTGAGGTGACCAAAAATCATACTCCCTCCGTCGGGGTGGACACGTAGTTTAAGAAAATTATAAGTGGGTTCATTTAAAACATGGAAAATGGTATACATAGCCCTAAGCTCATAAAGGAAATATTGAGTAAAAATTAGCATTAATTACACCGATCTGCGCATGATTTTGTCATGAATTCCCAACTTAATTCCATTTTGGGAAGTATATTTAATGCTTATACATAGCCCTAAGGGCTACATATATCATTACCCTTAAAAAATTTGTTTATTACATAAAAGATTCTCTTTTGTATTTTTATATTATAAGAAAACAAAAAGTGGGAGAGGTGGGGGTAGTGAGGAGAGAGAAAATGTAGGATTTAATTGGGTTTTGGGGTTTGTGGTCCCAAAGAGAGTATAGGAAAATATTTTTTTTTAATTAGTGGTCTCATTCCATATTTAGCAACGTATCAAGTATTTTGGGACGGATGAAAATAGTAATTGTGTCAAGTATTATGGGACGGATAGAGTACTGTATTAATTAATATTACATGTTGTTTCCAAAATAATTGTAACAAAAAAAAAAAAAATGCAACTTGAGGTTTAGACATATAGTTGGAAATGAGGTATATCCAATCTTAGTAGACCTAACCCTTTGGAAGGGGATAGTAAAGAAAGCTCAACATTAAAGAAACCCTTAATTAATAGTGCTTGATATCATAACCTCAAAGTCACAAGTAACAAACTTTACCAAGCCAAATCACCAAAATTTGTTGGGGTAAATAGTTGACACAAATTTAGAGTCCAATGAAATCACTAAAGATATTCTCATAATTCTTCATATATATTTATAATTGACCTTATTAACTAACACATTGGAGAAGATCGGCCTTGTAGTAAGCTTCACAACCAAGTAGGCAATTGTTGTGTACTCTTATCAGACTCTTTCATGATCTAATTAAGGTTTAAGTCATATGTATAAGATGCAACTTAATGGACCATTGTTAGATGCTCATTTTATTGACATGACTAGCGAGTTAGGCCCTGTTCTTTTGAAATTCTGAGCACAGCAGAGCAGAACAGGTATCAGCAGACAGAGCAGATCAGGACAACTCAAAAAATAGGGCCTTACTCTTCCTATTATCCACTAATCTAAAATGAAATCATACTTCACATTTGTAAGTGTTGAAAATCTTTTACTCCATTGGTAGCCCCAACTCAATTCACATCTTCACAAACTCTACCACAATTTTTTTGACAATAACTAAAAAGAGTTGATAGTTGGTTAGACAATTGTCTGTCCATAATTATGGTATGAATGAAATGACCATATATATAGGAACATCAACTATTCCCAAGGCATTAATTAATTAATATGAGCAACCAATCAAAAAGAGGGTGAAAACTCAATTAAGAGTAGCTACTTAGAAAAGGGTGTTCAGATAATTTCAGAGCGTGATGTTCAACGTCCAATATAGACCAAGATTGGATTGGAAGTGTACACTATTACTTTCTTCTGCATCCATGCAACTGGATTCTGCTACCACTGCCAATATTAACTACTTGAACAAGGGTTATTGATGAGCAGATGAGTATAAATAAATAGTTATGGGAAGATTCATACACTTGAATAGGTTAATTTAAAAAAACAAATTCTCCCACTCGTCTCAAATTTAATACTACTTTCGTCTTTAATTCTTTGCCCATAGACATATTCCACTTTATTAAGTTTTGATTTAGTGGAATTGATAAGAGAGAAAAGTAATGGGATCTAAAATATTTTTGTAAGAGTAAAGTCGTGGTGCTTATGGAACAATCTTTAAGGGACGGCTTAAAAGAAAATTGGGGCAAACAAAAAGAAAAAGAGAGAGTATACAAAATATTTTTTGTTACGTATACAATTTCATATTAATTGCAATATTGTCATTATTAACAATATTTTCTGTCTATTATTCTCCGTCCGAAAATGAAGTTTGTATAAAATAGACGTGTTACAATTAAATTGAAACGAACAAGTTTTTTTTTTTTTAAATGTCACTCTTTTTCTTAGTTCACCGCCTATATATTTTTTTTTTTCACCCGGTTCACCCTTTGGGCTAATTCGGATTCGGGGATCAGTTTTGGGTGGTTAGGTTCCACTCCCCTCCCAATTGTTATTATAGGGATCGAAGGTGCGATCCTCCCTACCAAATGTAGTCCTAATCAGACAATCACCAATACACCAAAAACCAATTACTTCACCGCCTATACAATGAATGTAGGTTGTCTCAATACTTTTTTTTAGGTATAAAAATGGCAGATATACCCATGTTTACACCGTATGTCTTAGTCCACGTGGTAGTATATGATAGGTCCAAGTTTGAAAACCAGCGGCTCTGTATTGTCACATTTATACCACTCAAATTGTTTGTCATACAGAATGACTAAATAAAACAACAAAAAACATACCAGTAACAAAAATTCTCAGTTCGACAAGGACTAGCAAACTAGTCCAGTAGTACCACATGAACAACCAGAGAGTATTGACTTTGTTTTTTGGTGTCGATGAATACCAAAAATAAGAGGAAAAAACGTAGAAGAGTAAAAGATGAGTATATCAACAGTATACGAATAAGAATAAGCTTCACCGTCTAGTTCTTTTTATCGTTTTTAGTAAGAAAATTGTCCTACACACCGGAATCATTAATACTTACCACTAAACTCAAACTTAATAAATATTTTGGTAGGTAAAGACGATGAGCTTTTTCCGTCTAATTTATGCTTTCACCTTCACCTTTACCATACAACGGTACGGGAATGATGAAAGATAATAGGGGAGGTAGGGGCATATGCAAATGATAATACTAGTTTTTAAATACTTACAACACTTGTATTTACTAGTAAATTTAATAGAGCAGTGAAGAGTTATTAAAAGTGATATTTTGATTTGCAAGGGGAGGTTTTTTTTTTTAATATTTTACTTTGTAGGAGAGGGTAGCAATAAAAAATTAGTGCAACTAGAGTTAAAAGGAAAAGAGAAACAATAAACAATTATTGTCCCATATCAATTAAGGATAATGTTGCAAAACATAAACGACCGTAAAAGATAAGTGTTGTATTTAATAACAAAGAGAGTAATATACTCCTTGGCCTAATTACGCTCCTTTCTGTTCATCGGTGTGAGATCTGTAAATGAAGTCGTGATCAAGACCGTATCATTGCAAATTTTGCAAATACTTACTACCAAAATTCCTCTTACTGTCTTCAAATTCGACGAACAGGTAAATAGGTAATGACAACTGAGAACCTATGCGAGAAAAAAACATTGTGTATTTCCAAATTCAACTAGAAGTAGATCACAGATCCAAATTCAACTAGAAGTAGATCACGCGGCAAAACGACCTGAGATTAATGAAGCGTACGTTTATATGCCCCCAATCCAAAAGGGGGGAAGCTGAAACTGTCTATGAAAACCAAAAAATCTACATTCTCTAATCTCTCTTAAACAAATAAATAAAATTAAAACAACAATGACTAAATAGAAATTTACAGTATACAGAAAGCGTAAAAATTTAATAAGCTTATATAAACAACAAACAGGCGCTATCAATATCAACTTCACAGAACTTGCTCTCCTCTCTCCCCTCTGAGAAATGGTATTGGCAAATATTGATACAAGGACACTAAGTATACAAACAAAAAAGTCACCCGAGACTCAAGCACAACCAAAGCATCGGCTTATTGAGAATGCACTGGATGCCTCAGGAGCTGAATCAGGATCAGCCTTTTTGCGAGGAAGCTGCTTGAAAAAGGCCTTCACTGCTCCTGTTACACCATCTTCGTTTTCCATTGCCTTTGCAAGCTCAACTGCCCTCTCTTTCACCTGCATCGTTTATTAAATAATTATCATCATACCAAAGCACCAGAAACCTATTTGACCAAATGCCACACGTTGCATAATAAGATTGACACCTGGACTCAGCAGCTCCGTCATAAAAGAATTGTTAGAAGATTTCTACAATATGCAACTCTAAGGGCTATGTAAAAGCATTAAATTAATTTTTTTAAATGGAATTAATTTTGGAGCTTGTGATAGACCGGTGATTACTAATGCTTATTTGAACCTTAATATTTTTAACTTTAGCTTGGCATTTTCATTAGTTTTTACCTGAAAACAATTGATTGTGCGGATGCATCAAATACTTTTGACTCCGTACATATAAAGCTCCCTAATTTTAAGTTTTAACGGACCTTAAAGCTTTAGCAACCTAATTCTTATTAGTTTGACATTTACTATGTGAAAATCTACTTTAAAAGACTAAAGCAGCATCTGAACGCATGATACCAGGGCCAAAAGAGAGCTTCAATGGCTCACCAGGCCAATCATTAGGTCCAAAAAAGTCTGGGATAGAAGACAGCAGCAGATTCCAAACAAACAGGAAAATGCTCATGAACCCTCTATAAGATGAGGCAGCTCAATCATTTACATAACCTCCTCTTATTATAATATTAATTTAATTGATGAGTGAATAAGCATGGGCAAACTAATTATCAAAATGGCAAAATGTTGAGGAAGTTTCATACCAACAGCTACCATCGTAATGCAACAAGGTAAACAAAAAAAGAAAGAAAAAGAAAAACCGAAATTCCTGAATACCTGTGGATCCAGCATATACTTTATGGCATCAACCAACTTGTCGAGTGAGAACTCATCAATTGGAATGGGTGGAGGACCTACACCTCTAGCATGCACACGTTCACCCCAAAAAGGTTGGTCCCCAAAAAATGGTATGATAGATGTAGGGCACTACATCAAGAAGAGCAGATAATCAGGTATTAACAACAAACAAAAGGCATTATATTTATAGATGTAACGAAAGACAACCACATTACCGCAGCTTTGAGGCCTGCAGCTGTAGTCCCGGCACCACCATGATGCACCTAAAAGCAAATAACATATATAAGAAAATTTATGGTTAATTTCAGGAAACCAAGTTTGTAGGTGTAAAATTCGAGCACTGGGATCTGATTATCACAAATACAGTAAAGCAAAAAAGAATTTTGAGCCATACCACAGCTGCACAATGTGGAAACAACCAATCATGTGGACAGTTGTCTAGTAGGTATATAGATTCCTTAGCTTCAGCCACTGATATATAATTGACAAATTATATTAGTACTCGTATAACAGATTATAGAAAGTGGTAATAATGAAGACTACTCCAGATTGTAGAAGTGGTTACTGACAAATTATATTAGTACTCGAACGACAGATTATAGAAAGTGGTAATAATGAAGACTACTCCAGCACAGGTCTACAGGAAAAGAGAAATGATGAAGAAACAACTCACAGTCACCCAGACCACCCCAGCCTTTGTTGATGATGCCCCTTTGTCCAGTAATTTCTAGTGCTTCAACAATTATTTCAGTCATTTTATGTGGCTCTTGTACAGGCTGGCACAATATAAAAACAATCAGCATCAAGTACCAATGCTTTGCCAGAAACAACGTATCAAAACTGCCTCAAGCAGAAGAGGTTGATGGTAGCTGGTCAATCGCAAGATAAAAAAACTCAAATATAGAAAAAATTAACCTTTAACACCTATTTGCTCTCAAATTACACAGTGCCCATGGAATAGACTTATAGAGTAACAGATACTATCTTGAAAACCGACATCCTCTCATATTACCCAGAGCCAATTGCCAACAGAAAACCATAAAAACAAACATCCTTCATGACTTTATCAAAGTATTCAATCCCACGTTCCCCAAATTCCAGTATAGATAAAATGGAAGGAAACAACAGAAGGCAAGAACACCCAAAATATTTTAATGTTAGAAAAGGTTGAAGAGCAAACCCAATGAAAGAAGGCCCAAGTGATTGTTTATTCTAAAACAAATTGGTATAGATGCAGAAGATCGCTAAAGTAATGCACTATCTCCTGGCTTATATTTTTAAAAATTGAGAGTATCAAAGTATAATTGAAACTTACTCCCAAGAAGCATAAAATTTATGACGAGCCTTCAAAGGAGATCATCAGAAGCCCAAATTGGTTGATATTTGGTGTCTGAAAGGGTGTAAAAACCAAACCAATCTCTCAGATCTAGAATCTGTTGCTAGCAATAGAAATAAGAAGGCACAATGACAATAAAAAGGCCCTTAGTGAGGTTCCCATTTAAAACCAGCTGACGATAAGTGAAATTTTTCGCTAGGGAAAGTTTATTAAAATTTCATGACTTGTATTTCCAAAGTGGGACATTCAATTGAGACTCGGTCACACATTAACCAAACAGTTACCTTAAATAACAGTACACAAGATCAACTAATAACCTGAATTCAGTGAAGCCCCTTTCATATCATTATTTTCAGGCATACTAAGATGAATAAATCTATCAGCCCCCTTCCACTCTCAATGCCAACATCAGTTCTCTGGTCATATCCAGGCTCATCACCTCCCATCTGCCCAATTCAGATCTTCCAACCCATTCAGTGCCCTATCTCATGTCCAGCACATCATTGCTTTAAGATGATCATTTAAACTAAAAGGAGCTAAGATAGCTAAGCTGGTGGGGGTAACAAAAGCCGTATAATTGAGATACAAGATGACACAAGGTTGAATTAATCTATCATCTCCCTTCCACTCTCAACACAAACAACAACTTTCTGTGGTCATGTTCAGGCTCATTCTCTAAACCATAATCTCCCAACTCCCATTAAATGTCCCATGTACTGCCTGCCACATCATTGCTTTTAAGTTCATCATTTTAACTTAGTGGAGCTAGATAGCTAAGTTAGGAGGTGATAAAAGCAAATAATTGAGATGCAAGATTACACAAAAGGTATAATAAAGGATCCTTCCTCTTCCCCCCCCCCCCCCCCCTCCCTCACACACACACAAAGAAGACAATGAGAAAAGAAATCAAAAGGAGATTAAAAAATAAATAAATAAAATATATAGAGAACCAAAAGGTTATTAGAGAACCATTTCTCTCTAAAACATTAGAGCTGCTTTCCTAGTAATGCATTGACCCCAAGCCATTTAGATTCCATCGCCTCTACCCTATACGTCAATAGTGCTACTCATCCAATTGCCAATTGATTTTAGCAGGTTTATTTTCATATCTTCTTTGATACTACCTCCGTTTATTTTAGTTGACACGTTTTGACAATGTGCACTATTCACATAACTTACTTTGACTTTGTTTTGTGATTTAGTGTTAGATAAAAACATAGTCATGTGGGGTCTTGTTAGCTTCGTCTCCACGACTAGTTTCCGAATATCAAAATTTTATATTTTTGCTAATATGCAATTAAAGATATTTACATTTGAAAGTATGCGTTGGCAAACGTGCCTAAATGAAATGTGTCAACTAATAAGAGGAAGTATTTAACATGAAATCATTAGGTTTGGCCGACTATTATTCTAGGCTTTCAATCATGCGGCCGAATGAATGATCTCGACTAGATGTCTAGCCTCAACGAGGATAGTGCACTTTCCTTTTTAACTTTAGAAGGACACATGTGATAAGTGGAGTTAAACCCACATATTTGCCATGTTTGGTGAAAAGCTGAAGCTAACCGTGTTAGTTGATTTTAACTAGTTGATTGTACATACTGATTGTATAAAGTTATTTGGTAAATAGTTGATTGCTTAAAATTGTTTGAATATGAAAAATGACAAATAAGGACATTGAATGGGGGTAGGTGGTTGAGGTAGGGTGCTGGATGAAATGGGGGTATAATTGTAATTTCACCTAAAATACTTGAATCAACTAATGATAAAGCTCCTCTAAGGAGCTTATTGAAAATGAGCTTATTTGATAGAATATGCTTTTTGAATCAGCTCACCACTAAACACCTCCATTATATGAATGTGCACATGTGACTCGTCCTACGTTTGTAAAGAGGTGAGAGAATAACCACATTTTGAATCAAGGGGTTACTCCTCCATGTGCTAATTGATATTGGGCTAATACCTCTCTTAGACTAGCCATTTATCCAACTACCCTGCTTTGTTATTAGCCCAAACGGGCACACCCATTATAAAATGCAACTCAAATGGTATTTCTCCGTTAACTACCATCTTTTAGTTTTCCTACACACTAAAACATCCCACTCCCCACCAAAAAATGAAAAACAGGAAAGAGTAAAAAAAATAAATGCAACTCCCAAGTCCTCAACAACTTCAATTTGCTATCTTGATCATATTCCAAAACACATTTTTTTCAGCTTCTTCAGGCAACTTTTGACATACTTAGTACCTCTTTATTTGTGTAGAACCACATTCATCATGCCACTTGGTCCATTGTATCAATTAGAAGCTAATTTGATGGCTTCACTAAAAGAAGCTAATAAATTCACGTGACAAATCAACTCTAATTTTTATACTGCAGCATCATTCAATTTGTAAATTAGCTATTGACTTAACAGTCTAACATCATCTTCTTGTTGCAATTTTATCATTCCATAATGTTTACTGTGAAACTATATTTTAGATATAAGGAACTGAAATATTTACGCAGTAGGCAGCAAGTATCAAATTATCAGATACATTACCTGTTTAATTGAAAAATCAGATCTTTGTGTACAGTTTTAATCTAATTTCTTCTAACTACATCGGCTCTTCTCTAGCATACCTGAAGCAGAAAGCGTCCACAAAGGGATAACTGAGTTCAAACTAAACAATTTTAATATTCCATCGAGAACTTGGTCACATAACAAACTGAAGATCTACAATGGTTTTCTTATGAAGACAATCATTGTAGTAGGTATTTTAACTCTCATAACACAACCAAAACTACTGTTTTCTTCTTCATCTCCCTCCTCTCTCTTGAAACCCAAGTCTTAATTGTTCATCATGATAGGGCTTCCATCAATCTTTACCAGTGTTTCTTCAAAAAAAAACCCTTTACAATGTTAATCCCCAATTTTTGTTGATCCGCTGGCTACCATAATGTGTTTCCAAATAATTTCTCACCATTAGTGAGAATTCATTACTCTCATCTCTTGATAGGAGTTAGCCTTATTCTTATTACAGTTATAAGTCTAAAGTTATGGTGGATTAAGTTTCTTGACAGGTTCTTCATAAATCCATGTCAGACATTACGCATTAGTTCTCCCACTATTTTCTACCTAATCACATAAATCTCTATCGATGGAAGACTACACCTGATATGGATAATTGGATATCATGTGTATTTGTTGAGTTTAGGAATTTAATTCAAAGTTTAAGGAGACCCTCCTTTTTTGAACCCATTTAGCTTTATTCTATTTTTGGCAAACACATTTTACCATCTTACTCCTTTTCCACTACCGCTCTCCTACTTCTTCCACCACCAGTTTACCACTTCTCTCTTCCTATATCCACTTTTTTCTTATACCCACTCCAATCTCCTAGAAACAAGATATCGCTTTATTGCAATTGTAAAATTATTAATGTAGGACTAATTAGCCTGTATAAAAGGCCATAGGCTGTTATGTTAAAGTCATACTGTAATTCAGTAAATTGAGCTTTCTTACAAACTTGTGTCAACTTGTGAGACACATGTTCAAGCTGGTAAGGTTTGTATTCACCCAAATTATGTAGGATTATCAATTTGTTTCCCTAGTTTTAGTTGGTCCTGAGATAAGACAGCCTGTTTCATATAAACGGGAGATTGCTATACCCCTTGCATCAAGGCTATATAAATACTAGTAACACATTTTTTAAATCATGACCCTTCATTGTTAAAATGCAAGTATTATAGTATAGATTATATTAGTAAAGGATATTACAAACATAAATTGGTCTGTATATATTATAAAAAAATATATAAGAAAAAACACACACACACACACACAAAACAAAAAATTGTGAACAAAAGTGAGATGTACTTACAAGGCTGCCAAATCCAACATAAATAGGCTTTGGACCAGCATTAAGCCAATCTACAAGGGCCTGAGGAGGTTCATAGTTTGATGCGAGATCAAGAAAACAAAATCCAACTACATCAACCTTGGGTCCCCAATCTGCAAGCACAGAACATGAATAAAGATAATGTACAGCATCAAAACAAATGAGAAAAAAAAAAATCTTCAGATACTAGAAGAATCAATTTGCCAATCCTCACTAATGCATTACAGAGCTAAGAAAGAGAATAAAAAACACAAAGCCAATGTGAAAAGACTTTGACTGACCACCAATATTGAATATGGCAACATAACAGAAAGAAAGCAATACTCCTTAAAAATTATTAAAATTCATGCTCTTTCGTCATACTACTTTTAACAATACTAATCCGTAAAAAATAAATAGAGTTGTCAGGCAATATTGCTTTCCTAGACTTATCATATCATATGGTCTGCATTAGTTAAGATAAGGCCATGACATCCAAGAAATATAATCCTAGCAACATTGACCCATATCTGATCATCAAATTTGAATTACTGGAATTGTACTTAAAACAAGCTAATCCAATATTACCTGCCTCGACTAATGCCTAGAATTTGACAACATAACCGATTATGACCTGAACCAAGATAACTTGAATGTATCTACCTTGTGCAACCTCAATCCCTAAAGTTTATTTCTTTTGTTTTCAAACATCTAAATTGTGGTACCCGTGTGCACTTGAAAAGGATCCCACCAGAAACAAAAGTGTTTAGTCACCTGAATATGACCAGAATCAACCCCAGTCAGCTACCTGTTGACCAAGTCTAAGTAAACTCAAGAGCAGCGACAGATGATACTTCCCATTGTTCCTAAATTTATTATGTCATTAAAAATAAGCTCCTACATTCACCAACCATGGAGCCATAAAAAGATGGTACGTAATTGTCGTAATACTACTAGAAGCTCAACTTCTATGTAGGCTTTGAGTAAGCTCATTTGAACTCTGATTAAGATGTCAAGGAAGGTTCAAGGGAAAAGGGCACCAAAATATAAGTCTCATATACCAGGTCATAGCAACAGACTTCAATGGATGACATGATCCCTCTGTCCCAATTTACCCGTCACACCAAGTTTTGCACAAAGTTTTATGTGATAAGTTGTTGGCTTATCTATTACACTTTAATAGAAAAGTAGCTATGACGGAAAATAATGGACGAATTTTTATACTACCTCCTTTTCTTACTATTTGCAACTTTGGAGGGTTGCATAGACTCCTAGGCAAAAATTTGTTTGTGAGTGTAAAATGGAGAGAGAAAAATAGAGATGCATGTGATGAAGAGAGAGATAAAAAGAAATGACAACTTAAAAAAGGAAAAAAAAAATTAAAAAATAAAAAAAACATTTGTTGCAAATAATATGAAACATCCATTTTTGGCAAATGTTGCAAATAATATGAAACGGACTAGTAGTATTAAATGAGATAGTATTTGGGATCCTAACTTGTATTAGTGGGTTCATGCCATAAAAAGAGGTGAAATAATTAAATTGGCAAATGAAAAAGGAAATTGTGATACTTAATTTGGGGTGAAGGGAGTACACAGCAACAAGAATAAAATCAGAACTTTTAATCCTCAAAAATTTGATTGGCTACACAGATTTAGATGTCATCCACTCATCCTTATGAGTCTATCACGCGAGTTCTCCTCCTCAACTTAACTCTAGGCCCAACCCAATGAAATACTATCCTGGAGAGTGGAGAAGGAAAAGGAAAAAAAAAAAAAAAAAATCATTTTTTGTCCTTTTTAGCTTCTTCCTTCTAGGTCACCTTTGTCTTCTGTAACTCCCTTTTTTTATATAAACACTATCTCTTAACTCTCCATTTTCCAAAATGGTATCTTCAGGAAATTAAAGACACTGAAGTATCTTTATGAAACTGGATATTACAAAGACAAATGAAGCTATTAAAAACAGTATACAAAGTTAGAGAGACACAAAACTCCCTAAATCAAAGGGAACAAATGAAGCAATGCAAAAGATACAATAGAGGTAAGAGTATCCTCTATAAATTTAACGCATTACATTTGCATCCAAGCGTTAAAAATTATAATAGAACACTAACATATACTCAATTGCAAGGGAAGAAAGTTAAAAAGAGCACCCAATCAACATGAAGTAAAATTTTGATGGACTTTTAAATGTTTAATGGATCAACTAGCATAGATAGTATCAAAGTTCTTAGCTGCAAAAACGCAAAGCAGTATCACCTTTAGGTTTAGGAACAAGATGAGGGCTCCAAATATATCCATGTGGAATATCAGATTCTGAACCTTGTGAACCGCTCAAATATGTTACAGGGCGCAACTTCAATTTCTTCTTTCTGACATCATTTATCATGTCTCTTATTCCCAGCCAGATCATAGAGTCAACAATTTGATAAGAAAGCTGCAAAAATTGGACAAGATTAAGTGCTATGCAGTAACTACCAATATATATATTATGCAAGGATTGATTGCAAAGGTTGCACGCACTCTATATCCGGCAGGTTGCTTGACACGTGACAAAGGATGTGGAAATTCACTAGTCGGCCTAGTATATTCCCAAAAAGAAAAAGATAATTTAAATAATTGATTATAAGCATACATTAAATAAATTCAAATAAGAGCAATAGAATGAAGACATGCATGAAAAAAAGTTCAAAGAATCACATACAAAGGTGAACCGTATTTACTAAGTTTTTATCACCCAAGAAAGACTTACGTCCAGGGCATAGTGAAAAATATGTGGATTGGTATTTTTAGTGCCTCAGCCACATGCGTATGCCCTGCAAATTACATGATTTCATTAGCTTGAAGACTTAGGTCCGAAGGATCAGGATACACCATTACATAAACTAGTAAGTCCATACTTACTCATTATGCTGAGTGTATATCAGAAAACAATAGTTCTTAAGAATAGACAATCAGTCACAAACTCACAATCCTATTCAAGTTCCCAATGCAAATTTAATAATAAATAAATAACAAAAGGATTATTTTTCCAAAGTCAATTAACTCTATCTGAGTCTAGCATTGATTTCCAAATAAACTTTCATCCTGCTCAAAAAATTGTGTATTGCCAGACGGTTTCACTAGAAACAACTGTTTATTAAAGAAATACTTTGTATAACCAAAAATGTATGAGCTCTTCTAACCTTGCAGCTATCTAACATCCAGAATTTTAGATTCCACCAATGACTCACATTGCTCCTGCTATGACAACTGTAAGACTAAAGTATACCCCATGTAAAGAAATTCATATCTGGCTTAACGAGCCCAAGTTCTTTTTATTCTACTCCGTCAAAGGAAAATAGTTCAAGTTAAATCCTTCTGATCTTGAAAGAGATTCGATGATTACATTTATATCCCAGTATAGACATCCTCAAAAAGTAACACACATGTTTCCCCTCAAATCTAGACACTGTGGAATTTCTTCATCTGAAACCTTTAATGTAAACTAAACAAAATTGAGGGTGCTAAAACCAAGACTTGTAATTACAAACAGGAGAAATATAAAGGATATCACCAAAATAAAGAAAGAGCTAAACAAAGATAAAGTTGTCAGACCATAAGCTGGGGGATTAGCTATGATAGCATCCGCTTTGAAAGGAACATTCGAATCCATGTCAGGATCTTTACAAGCTGGGAGTAATGAGAATATAATTTCTTTCATCTGATTGCGCTGAATAGGTATCTCTGAAGGCCCAGAAGGCAAAAATCCTTTATTTTTAACCATGTCTGCACAAACAAATCAGCTAATTATAAGAACAATAATATTACAGAAATATCCATACAAGAGTCAATATAGAAAACGAGGGTAAAAATATTGCTTGTACACACATGTATTATACCATTCAAAACCTCAACAGAAAGGGAACTTGATGCAATCTGTTCTGTAGTCAGCTTAATCTACCCCAACCCCACCCCCCACCCCCTCTTCCAAATATAAATATTAAATTACTGACACATAATACAGAGGAATGAGCCAATCTCCCAAGGCCAGGCCTCTGAAATTTAAAGCCCCCACCACACCCCCACCCCCACCCCAAAAAAAAAAAAAAAAAAGAATCAATCATGAGCCTCAACTATCAGCTTAAGCTTTTAGTTGAATTGGTCTTTTAACCAACCAAACAAGTTCAATCAAAACCTTAAGATGATGGTTGAGGCCCAAGATCTGTTTATATACAATATCACAACCAACCAAACAAGGGAGATTGAGATTTGACGTGGCAAATGAACAGGTAGCAAAGTGATACGCTCGATGAAGAACACGAGTTGGCTCAAAGTTACTTGCCAATAATTTTTGTATATAATAATAAATGAATTGAGTTTGAATATAGTTAAACCCATTGTAGTAAATGAGCTAGAAAATGAACATACATAAGTAATATGTTCGATCATATGATGTGCATAAACAACTCGAACAACAAGATTGTTTGAAAGCTGTTCAGAATTTCAACAGTTATTTGACCTTGTTTAATAAATTGCAAGTCAAAACTAATACTGTATTTAATTTTCAATTATGTTTGAGTACAGCTTGTCCATTCAGCAAGCACTACTTGTTGGTGCTGTTAACATAACCTTTTTTTTCTTATCTTATCAAAAAAACTATTTACATATAATTGCAAGTCAATTTTTTTTTTATTTTCACTTGCAAATTAGTCATTTTGTTGTGATAGGTAGACAAGATGTTAAACAGCAATAGATATTACAAGGAGATTGTTGAAGCACACGTGAAAATTCAAACTGAATGATTAGCAAGGATACACAAAATTCCTGAAAGAACCAAACAAGAAGCTTTTTTTAGCTTTACTGAAAGCATTAACTTAACAAAATTAGTTTGAACACAAACATGGTTAATCCCGTCTAGGCTTTTTCACACTTATAATTCACACCCTTGCAAGTGAAGTATATGAAGCAAGAAATGAAGATAGAAGCAAGTGATAACATCAGCACACCAAACAAAATGTTTCTAAAAGGCGATCTCGAATGGGATCAAAATAGAAATATCTAACCTAGAAACGCTTCCTATTCCTAAAAAGACAGGTTGGGTACACACGTCATTCCCAAGAGTCGCTCATACATAAGGGGAAGCCTTCCTTCTGGGGTAAAAAGGGGGTAACATATACTAGGATTAGAGTTACCCATATGATTGGAATTGGATCGGAGGGTTAACATCCAAAAAGGCCATAGCATAGGACCATAAGGGGAAACGATTAACTTAAATACCATCACATAAGGCCATAGGGGAAAAATAGCAACCCTAAATACCCAATAAGCAATTTCCTCACTTTCTCCTCATTATCATAATACCATCACCATCATTCTCACACTACCACCACCAAGAGAGGCACCACTACCCCACGTCCCCACATCACCACCATTGGTGCTCCTATGCAGCCCGACATGTCATGGACAATGTCACACCGCTTCCTTCACATGACAAACTCTGATACAACAAGCCCTTCACCCAGCTGCTACCGGAAAAGATCACGCGCTAACTTGCAGTAGATAAACTCTTGATGGAGTTTGTGACAGAAGCTTGCCCCTTTCTGCAGACGATGCAATGTTTGCACCTCCCTTTTTTCTCCACTGCCAGCAAGGCTCCAGTGGCTATTCAGTCATATTGAGGATAGGGAAGAATAGTGAGAGGGAAGAGCGAAAGAGAATGTCAAAAGGGATAAAAGTCACAATGATAATGATATCAAACTAGAGGAAATGGAAATTTTCTTCCCTAGAACAAAAAATCTTGATATTGTTTCCACTTTGAACTTACCCTACTGAAGGATTTACACATAACATATATGCACAACAATAAAAATCATGCAATTAGAGAAGTCACAAGAGGAGGGTGAGGGGCAATATAGAAACGAGGGAAGGAAGAAGAAGCATAATTAGCCAATTAGGTACATACACCCAGCAAGAACCTTTGGGTCACCACCTAACGGAAAGAACTCCAGTCCAGATGTCAAAACAAAATCCTTAAAATTAGCATGAGTGGCCAGTCTAACCCGATGACCATAATCCTGCAAACAGAAGCTTAAGTAAGTCATATAGGACAGAAATTCTTCTTTGTCATCTAATAGCCAGAAAATAAAACCAAAATACAGTTTTTGTGATGAGAGAAAATTTATCAGACATAAAGAAAAGAAAACAAACAGCAGTACGACGGCATGTCAGCTGCAAAATTCTAGAAAGAGGGGAATACATCAGACATGTATAGTGATATCAGGATGACTTTATATAAAACATGATATGGCCATCATAGATGATCCTCACACAGATGGGTGACTTATGGGAAATGAAATAACTCTAACAAACATGGAGTGACTTAGACCATCTTCTTTAAAAAGATAATTAAATTCTAATAAAGTAAAACTAATTACGAACAGCAGCCTTGTTAGGAAACTAGCTATTAAGAGTATCGAATAACAGCTAATAGGGGATTGCACATCATCCGTTCATTAATTATCGCAACAATTGGACATTTGCACTACTCATATACTAGTTTTAAGACTTTTAACCACAATGTTATACTAAATTAAAGTGTTACTCCTTCAGTCCCACATCAAACTAATTTGTACACTTTCGATTCATTTGTCCTAAATTAATTTTTACACTTCTATTTCAAAGGCCTTGTTATTATTTTAATTCATCTCTTTCCAATACCAAAAATTTATGGTTCTACACCCTCTCACATTCAATTAAAGAAAAAAATCCCACTATCTTCAATTAAATAATACTTCTTCCTCTCCATTTTCCCTTCAACATCAAGAGTTCCACGCTTGCCAATGCACAGTCTAAACTATTATATTTGGTTCGTTATGAGAAAAATTATATAAATTAGATATTAATGAAGTACAATTGAGACGAATCCAACAAGATGCCACATTAATATATTTTTTCCTCCATATATAAACCACAACATAAGTAAGAAAAGAGAGTATGACTAGTGCAAAATCCTAATAGTAAAATCGAGTAGAGGAAGTATATAATATCTCTCTTCACTTTTAAATTTTTAATAAAATAACAATTGAAAACCAAATAACTTATCACCTAATATTATGTGTCATGATATGGGTTAGAACTAATATGGGATGGCAGGAGTATTAACTAAAATATAGTTCGATTAATCACAATGTATGTTCTCAAAATATTAACATTTGAATAATAACATAATAATGATTAAATTGTGCATTGGCAAGCATCAAAATCTGGTTGTTGAAACTACTACTACCTCCATTCTTAAATACTTGCAACAATTTGACTAGTGCGCTTGCCAATGCATAAGTTTGGCCATAAAAATATGCAATTTGACTAGTCCAACAATATACTTCGTATTACACTAACATTTGATTACTATATATTAATAAAATTGTAAGGCCAAAATAAATGTATGAATAATGTTAAGGTCAAACTATTGCAAGTATTTAGGAATAGAGGGAATACAAAACAAGTTAAGTATTAACTAATTTGACTAGTTGATCGCGTTTGGTTTGCTTAAAATGTATTCTATTAAAATTTGGTACTCCCTTAGTTTCTTTTGGTTGTTCTTGTTTGGAATCTACAAAAACTCTAATGTAAATGACTAAATACTCCCTTCGTATCATAATAGTTGCAACATTTCCTCATCTGTAAAGACCCGCTATTATTTTATCATTTCTCTCTCCTATCAATCCCACTTGCATAAATATTTTATTATTTCTCTATCCTACGAACCTCACTTACACTACTTTTTTTTTATTATTATTATTTTTCTCTCCTACTAACCGTTAAATATATCCCCACCAAATATACTTTATATTATAAAATTTCCCCATTGGTCCCCACCCTATAAATTTCGTAAAACTTTATGCAATGCCTAGAATTGCGATTATTACGAAACAAAGTATAATTATTTACCGAAAATTATGTATAAAAAACAGTCATTTGGGATCTTGTTTGAGTCATCTTGTTGTGACGTTTCCAAATATCAACTTTTGAAAACTGTTTATAATATGTACTAAGAGATATCTCAGCTTAAAGCATTAAAAATTGTGTAAAAAGTTGTAACAAGAACAGCACAAAGAAATGGAAGGAGTATATCCTACTATAGAGTAGTATTTAAGTGAGATACACAGCTACATATTAGGATATGAATATGGTTTATCACTTATTAACGCTATTTTGTATGGAAGTTATTAATGTTGTTCTTAACCTCAGTAATAAACAAAACAACATAAAGTACCACTTAGGCACTTACTACTATTAAAAAGAGAATACCAATGAAGTCTTGGCCTAGTGGTTAATATCGAGAGCCTTTGTAAGATAAGTCACAAGTTCGAATTTCCCCTCCCAATTTGTAATTTGTAATGCCCTAATGGCTCATTTAAATGCAACTTCTCTTTAGCTAGAAACATCAGGGCATCTTTTCCTATTATGTCTCTCATGTTTCTTATAGGGTAATTATGGTATGGCAAAATGAGCTTTATCAAAGTGATCGATTAATTTTACTTAGTTGATTATCCAGATATTGAAGAACCCATAAGTAGATCAAATTCATATGATGTGATGATGCTCCCATTACAAATGAGATTTATTTAGAAAAGTGGAAAGATAATCAATTATTATCTTAATTAGAAGATAGTTAGATCTTTAGAAAGTTCATCAGACAAGAGAAAAATATGAGCATATGAAGAATAAAATTTGACATTGACAAAAGAGGATGAAAGTCAACTCTTTGTGGCCTTTTTTCTCTTCCACATTAAAAACACTCTGTATGAATATGTTTAACATTGGATTTATTACCATCAACGAGAACCATTTACCTGAATTGCCAGCTCAAAATCTAGATGTTATTCTTTTTCCTAGAAATCTTTGCCGCAATGCGGTCAGAAAACTTAGCATGGTCATCTAAAAGATTGTTAAAATAGTTACAATTAACAAAGAAATATTTTGACACCTCATCCATATAGCTACATAGAGAATTCAAAGTAAGAGCACGCCGACAACAAACGTAGAACAGAGGAATGGATGTAATTCTGACCTGCAACTTCTTACCAATCGCAATGAAAGGTTGCACATCTCCTCGGGTACCAACTATTAGCATAACTATTTGAAGTGGTGGAATGTACTGAAGGTCCGTCGCATCAAGAGATTCTTCTTCATCAGCACATTCAGTATACAGATCAGTTGGCCCACCACCGAAAGTGTGTGATTCAACATCTCCTGTAACTTCAAACTCCACAGTCCCATCATCTTTGACCGTAGCAATCCTGTTCAACAATTGAAGCTGCAGAACTTTCAAGGTTACAATACAGGCCCCAGAATCAAAACAGATCGACAAGAAGTATATAAATTAACTTCCAACTACTGAGAAAAGAATGCCCTACAGACGAACAACTATAAAGATGAAAGCTAATAGAACCAGTGATAAAATACAAGAGAAACAACAAAAAGCTCTCCCTTCAAATTAAAAATTCATGTTATCTTAGGTTAATGAATGTACGTTTAGGCATTTGTAGTAGTTGCATTGATATTCTAAAATCTACAGCAACCAATGTCATTCCATTAGCATTTTAAAGTGCCCAATGATCTTGCGCAGGTGATCTCGCATTCTAAAGCAACGAGAGTGGAGAAATCAAAATTATTGGCTAAGATACCCCTACCCCCATCCCATAAATAGGAGCCAAAATTGACAAGTGATGTGATATGCATGGAGGAATCTGAAAAAAAAAAACTGGACACTCATTTGTGTGGAATATCTAGCACATACAGAAGTAGAGGCAGAAAACTTCCACACTAAGCATTCTGTGATCCTTTCCATCACTTTCAATTGAATAAATTCCAAAACCTAGAAGGGCCCCTTTAGGGGAACTCCTCAAAACCTCATTACATATCTTTTTTATAGCTAACTATTAAGTGTAGAATGCAGCATAATTGAAAACTCCATATGCATGCTTCAGGCTCATCCTCAGTCAAGTGTCTTCTTTTTTTTTTTTTTTAGAGGACTACCCATCTTTGTGTTAGGATTTATTTCCATTAAAAAGGAGTTGTTCACTTGCAAATGCTAATCCTAGTTTTCTAATGCTTATTTTATTATAGCCATATTACAAAGAGCATTGATCCAATTTAAGATTTTAAGCTAATCTCACATCCAAGACAGATGAAACTTAATCAATCATTTGGCTTTGTGAGATAAAATCATATTGGAAAAACTCGCAAACGTCACTTCAAAGATTAGCATCTGAATCACCAACCTCGAAAATAGACATTCTACACAGAAAAGATAAGCATGAAAACAGCAGTATTCGCAAGATTCACAACAACAAACTAAACAAAATTTCTACACAAACTATAAACACAGTACACATGGCAAGTCCAGACCATCATTCAGGGATGCACTTTGTCCCTGTTTGTATTAAAAAGAAGAAAGTTTTATTAAAACCAATGAGCATTAAAATTGCAATTATAAGGAACCAATCCACTTTTAAAAAAAAAAACCTATCTCCTTTATATATACGTCCCATTTACCATATCTACTAGATTCACCACTACATACAAGCCTTAACCAACTAGTCATGTGACTTCCCAGTAAAATGGGTATGAACAATTAGCATAAAGATACAAACAGATAGCAAATTGCAAAAAGGGTCACAGATTGAATACTATACCTTTTGCTGGACGGGAATGTTGTTATCAAAAATTTGTGCCGCTTCTGAAGCGAGTATATTTCTAGGATGTTGCCTCTCAGTTTTTGATCTTTCCAACTTAGGAGGGAGCACATCAGGCTCTAGTTTACCACAATGTGTCTTTTCTGCTGGTAAAGTGTTCACTCTAGAAAAACTCCTGCCAGCTAACCAAACCAAAATACAATCATCAAAATAAGCTCACACAAGAAAGATAGCGTAAATCAGAAATGGTAATAATAACAAATCTTTCAAATATGAAAACAATGCAACAAATAACTACACCAAGATGTTCGATAGATAAAAATCATATCTATTATCTTCTTTGTATCTTGTCCTTGTGACAGGATCCAAGTGTTTTGACACCGAACCCGTGTGGTGCGCACTAATCTATTTGGTGACAAGAGCGCAAGCGCGGATAGAGCTTGTGACCACGTAGCTGCACAAGCGGAGTTTGATGGGCACTCTTGCCTATTGGCAACAAGAGTGGAGTTGAAGGTCGTTTGGGTCTTGTAACGATGAAGAAATTTATATATTTTAGGGTCTCTAGGGAACTTATTTGTTTTTGGGAGTTTTATCTATAGAAGCCTACACAAACACAAGTATTAAAGTATGAGAAAATAATGGGTAGGAAGCTTGGATCTTACAATTTGCCCCCAATATAGCTTCTTTCGGGATATACTATATATATTTTCCACTGAGTGACAGGAACATTAATATTATTAGGAGGTTGGATTCTAACATCCTCCCCCAGATAACTAAGAAAACACAAAATTCAGAATATTGGTAGGATATACAACTGACAAGCCACCACGGAAGTGCCCAGGATACCTCAGTCTGAAAATTTGAGTGTATGACCCAAAGAACCTAAGATTCAAATCATTAAAAACACAACTCGACTGACTTATTTCCCAAGTGAAAGTATCCAATTTACATAGGTCAGAGCCTCCACCCGTTGAGCATGTCCAATTATCCATGGTAACTTCCACAAACTTCAAAACACACACACAAGACAATGCCTTCAAACGAGAGGTTGAATGATCTATACATACATAATGACTATTTCAAAACGAAATATAAAGCCCTAAAATTGTCCTGCATGATTCAATTTTATTCATATTGGTTCCCTTTTATTAGGTAGTATTTCCTGATTCTCAGATACTTTACATATAACCAAGTGATGAATTTTGTTTTTGGAATGTAACATTGCAAAGGAAAAAGAATGCAACGTCAAACCAATGGCAAGCTTGATAGTTTAAAAGCCGAATTGCTCAGATGCTATACAATAAGATACCACCATGGACAATCTAAAAAGAATAACTAGTACAAAAAGCCTTCATAAGCATAATTCAATAAAACATTTTCTAACACATTTAATGACATTATCTCTAATACTCCACAAACTCCCTTAAACTTTGATGATACCTCCTACAAAATATGAACTGATATCAAACCCTTGTAAAGTACTTCCATCCAAATCATTCTCGATAAGAATTTTTTCCACAATCCTAAAGGCTTTAACCTAAACTTAAGCACCTTAGTTCCCCGATTGTACCATAAACCTTATAGGTGCTCCTTTTTAAATAATTGCGAATCTTGGCAAGTCTAATGCTGTAATAAAAATACTACTACTTCCCCCTAATAATTATTAATGTGCTTCTCAATCATACCTTTTTTAAAAAGGTAAAACCTTGATTTAGATGAAAAAATTAGGTGAAATCCTTATAATGGAAAGATACTAATAGGTTATACACATATTTTGGTTTTAAATTTTCTTTTGCTCCTCCAATTGTCCTAATAACAGGATTTACAAAGAATTCTTCATGACAATTAATATCCCATCCCAAATTACTTAAGAGAGTAAAGACACAAGATATTCTTTTCCTAATAGTTTCCAATCTCTATATTTAAACACCAGACAGTACCACATAAAGTTTTACACTTTTGACTTCAGTTAATGATCCATAAATTCAGCGAAAGAAAAAATATAAAGATTGGACGATGGTTTTTGTTTAGTGGTTATAAAGTGGAGTGCTTTTGGAAGCTATATTGAAGTGAGCACTTTAAAGATCATATTGACAGAGTAGAATATTTCATTTCATACGGTGCATTAGTGTTTCAGAATTTTACGGTGTACAGTATTTTTTAAAAATCCACATGGCGCCCTTGTAGTCTTGACACCGTTTATATGTACTATCTTTATACGAGAAAAGGGCTAATTAGTGTCAAGTGTCAACTCCTTCAACAATTACAATCTTTCCTTAACGACCATCAAGAAGGTATTAGATAGCTCATTGAGTCATTGGTAAAAGATTTCTTTTTTCACGGTGTGCCACTTTGATAATAAATTCCAAAATCTTTCATCGTTAATCTTCAGTCACCTCATAAGATTGTAATAAGCATAAGTGGTTATATGCAAAAGAAGACTGAGAGTGCAAGCTATGTTTAATTTGCAAAACTAAATCAATGCAATCTAATTACAAAGTTAGTAACAAATATTTATCATAAAGGTGGTGGTGTCATGTGGATTTAATTAATAAAAAAATGCCCAGCGCATAAAAAATATAAAGTAGGAAACACCCCGTAGAAAAATACAGAATAGTGCAATAACACCCCATCAAAAAATTTAAAAAAGTAAAATGTCTTTTAAATTATTTTGATCTAGAGCTTACCCTATAAATCAAGAACTCAACAAGACTAAGTAGGTTCATTCACCTTCTTAATTTGTAGCACTTACGGCCCATTTGGTAGGTAGCCAAACATGATGGTAATGGGAATGAATTTGTATGTAAAATTTTTTAAGGAATATCATGGTTCATTTGCATGGTAATGCAGTAATGCTAGCTCACCCCAAATGGACCAATATTCTTTAGAAATTTTCATTCCCACCTAATAGGCTAAATGGCTAATACCTCCTCCCAAGTGGTAGGTAATGAAAAAACATGAACAAAACACGTGTTTGGGGATGAAATTGCATTACCATGGGGATTTGTTAAATCCTTCCTAAGTTACCCATAAAATTCATTCCCACTACCACAATACCACCATTTATTACCGGCAACCAAATGGGCTTTAATGTTGATTGGGGTTGCAAAAGGAAATTGACCAAGGTTAGTGGAGGTGGATTATCTTAAAGTTAAGATCGTAAGTGAGGTAGTCATGGATACTTCATGTAAATAGCTAGGGTGGAAAACTCTGATTCTCTTAGGAAAGGTGGCTTCATGGATTTCACGTTCCAACCTTGGTTGAATTCGATAGCTACAATCAGTTTGTAGAAGAAAGATGATTTTTGTCAACCTCCAAAATACAAATTATCAAATGATTTGGGGTGATTAAGCCTACTAGTACACTATACGCCCGTTCTGGTCAAGTTTCTGTGCAATCCTTAAGTTCTATGTCATGCACATTAAATACCTCGAAAAATCAATCACATTGTCAACATGGAAAGATAATGACAAATTACACAATTGCAAATAAGGTCAAAAACAAGCCAGTTCTTACACTTTGAACAAACCAATAATTCATTTAAAACTTTGACATTTAACTTTCTCTACAAACAAATTAAATTAAACTAAATCATAAATGTTAGGAAGTCAAACTGAAGAAACAAATCATCAAATTGCAATCTAATATTATATCATGAGGTATCAGCATTACCTGGCCACGTTTGGTTGCTTAAAAACAAATTATATGCTTAAAAAAATTAACAACTCACAACTATCAAGTAAAAACAAAACAAAAATCATCAAAATCGAAACAAAAACCATGATTTCTAATTGCAATTTTGATAAACTTAATGTTCGTAATATAATTTCTAATCAATTAAACATCAAATTAAGCAGAAAATGAAGTTAAAATTAGAAAGATTTAGTACCAGAAGAATCGCCATTGTTGCTACTATTACTTCCAGAATGTTCGAAACTACTTCCTCCAGCAATATCAACCGTAACTTCATCTTGATTCATCGCCGTATTCTCTCTCTTCTTCGGCGAATCAGCCGCCGTTGAACCACCGGAGAAATTAGGTTTCCGATCGATTTCTCTCTCCTACTTCTAGAATGATCTTAATGAGATATTTGGAGATTAAGCTGAAAACTCCATTGTTGAGTTGAGGAGAGAGAGAGAAGAGGAGGAGCACGTTTTGAAGGGATGTAAGTGTGTAATGCGAGGGAGAGATTCTGGAGAGAATCTATGAGGGGTAAAATGGGAAATTTGTGATGATAAGGGAATGATCGAGTGTGGGAACTTTTTCGTGGAGTTGAGGGTGATGTTGATTGGTTGGTTAAGAGGAACGGTGTACACGTGGCTGATGGAGTCACTTGGGTAGTTGGGTTTGTGACAGACTGACAGTGGAGTGGTATTTCAGAATTTTTAGGTGGTGGTCTTGGTACTATGACTACGGTGTACACGTGTGGCTTGTCCGAAATGATGGGGTGGGGTTTAAACGCAAAACTGATTTCGAATCAATAGAGTAAGGTTTAAACACAAAACTGATGAGTCATTATATTTAATTTGAGATTTTAAGTGTTTGTTTAAACTTGTTGAATGTATTTGAATATTTTCTAATTGAGAACAAAATGGAGTGAATTTTTCAAAAACTTGATACGTAATTACTTATGCGTGTTTAACTTTTCCATATCCCTCACCTCCCTTTCCTTTCCCTCTTTGACTCTTTTTCCTTCCCGTCTCTTTCCCTTCACTATTGTTATCTAAATACAGTTTTAGTTTCACTTATACCAAATCTCAAATCATCATTTGCTTATATTTCCTCGTTATTATTACCTACTGAACTGTTAATAAGAAGATCATGAATTATGATGTTTAGCTATGTTTGCATCTAAACCTTGAATGCTTTTGGGTTTTGAATTGGGGTTTATTAGATTGATTAAGCATGCTCTAACCCAACATGGTAAGTTTTTTTTTTCTTTGATAATACTTGTATGAATTAATAACATTAATAACATAATACTAAAGTAGACACCATGAATGACACGTGTCACTCTCTGGTGTTGTTTTTTCCCTCCAAAACTCCCCCTCCCCTTTTAACATATTTGCATAATACAACTATAATAATTATATTATCTTATATATTATCTTTACATAAAATGTCTTTCTTTTTATTTCATGTTCTTAATTCTTCCATACACATTTACCTAAATAGTATTCTAACTCTTTTTTAATTATAGAAACAGTGAGCCACTGGTTCAGGTACAAGATACTATTATCACCGTCAGACATTTTTTAGACGGAGTATTATTAAATTTTTCCAAAAAAGTAATAATAAAATTGATTCATATAATTAATATTAAAGAAATTACATTAAAATATCACTTTAATTTTTTTTTAAATACATCTAATATTTTGTTTCTTAGACTAATGGAGTGTCACATATGACTATATAGTAAATGTTGTGTTCGACAACTATATCATATTTTAAATTCTAGGAAAATATGAAATATCAATCATTTTTGTTATTACGTAATTAAATAAATTAATATCTTAGTAAATACAAACAAAATTATTATCTTTTGCTGAAACATGTGATTGAGATAATAAATTTATTAAAACATTCAACATTACAAATAAGATGCATAGTAAAAGATACATCAGACATAGTGACAAGTGACATCTTCTTGTGTATCCTTTTTTTTCGATAAATAGTTATCATCTACAAATAATTTTTAAGGCAATAAACAAACAATGATCAAATTACAATTATTGGATAGCTTCAAACACATTCTTATATAATAACAAAGAACGACGATATAATTTAGAGCATCAATTCATAAACAGAAAATGTACTACTAAAAATATAGGTCAGTGTTGCCTAATTATTGATTATTATATTATTGCCTTTAATAATCCGAGTAGTATTATTTCCATTGAAATTATTTTATTGGATATAAATCAAAGGTGATATATTATTTGTAATTTATATATTTACATGTATGTTGTACTAATAGTTTTACCGTAGATTTTATTCTATTGTTTGATTAATATTTTTCATGTTTATTAAAATACATTTATAAATAAGTCGTTAGTCATAGAGTCACTAGATTGTATAGTTTTATTGGGAATAGTATGCATCATTAATGTAATATAATTTATATTACTTTTAAATATTTTCAACACAACTAATCAACAATAATTTTTTTCCTCAATTGTAGTATTAGTAATTTTTGGCTTTTTTTTATTTTTTTATTTTTCTATATGCATTGCATTTGTTTATTCCACATACATGAGTTGCCTCATTTTTGTATTATATTATCACAATTAATTATAGGGAAAAAAAAAATTATTTTTACCGTGCATCGCATGGGTACTAATCTAGTTTACTCCTATTATTGTCCACTTGTTTGAAAAAAGGTAACAACTTTAATTTCAAAAAACATATTATTTAATAAAATATATTATTGAGCTGCTCACGAGTTAATCATGTCAAGTTAGAGCTAGTATACAACACTAGTCACGCATCATGCCTATTAATTACTTTAAGATTTTTTGTTCCATTTTCGGTCAGAAATATAATACTGTAGTTTATCCACATCTTACCCTACCACGCCAATATTTGAAAATGATGTTCACTAATACATACTCCCTCCATTTCTATTTAATTGCCTTACTTTGACTTTAATACTATTCACACACACCTTTTTTACCAATATTCGTGATTCATACATAAGATTAGATATAGTGTATGAGTACTTGTTAAAATCGTCTAAATATATAGTTTTCAAAATATCAATTTTTTTATAATTTATAATTACAAGAGTACTGATAATAAAAAAAATAATCAAAATTTCACATTAGCAAATATGCTAGTTAAAATGAGATAAATAAAAACAAAGGAAGTGGCGTAAAACCCTACCACCCAAAGGCGCAACGGCACCCAAAACCGAATGGGGCATAACCTTTTCACTTCTGAGCTCTAACGTCCTATATTCCTTCCTTGATCACCCCCTTATCATACATAGACCGTTCCAATATTCTTGTATACCGACATTTCTCAGTATTCTCACAACCCCACCAAAAAAAAAATGGAAACATCTCCAATACACCATTATCAAAGCAGAAAGAAACTCATTAAAAGCTAAAACAACAGTTTCCACAATTAATCCCCAACATTAAAATGTTCAAGTTTAATTCATAAACTCCTCCCAAAATTAAATGGGTAACTCCCACATTAACACTCGTAAAAACCGGCATCATCATCACCATCAACAACAGGTGGAACAATCTTCTTCATCAATTCCTCCCCCTTCAAATCCCAACTATTTATACCCCCCTCCTACTCCTCTCTTTCCATATCCGTACAATCCTCAACCTCAATCTTCTTCTTCTTCAATGGCGCTTTCGTTGCCGTACTCCCATGTCGACTCCTGCTTACGCGCTCTAGCTCAACAAGCTCAGGGTTTCGGTCGATTTTCCCTTGGCGGCCTTCACGGTCCCCTTTTTCATGTCACCACCCTCTCCGGTTCGTCTTCATCTTTCTAACGATTTACGTATTTTTCAATAGTTTGTTCATTTCATTTTAGAATTTGATTCAAATGTTATTTGGAAAAGTTGTGTTTCGTGATCATTTTAGAATTTTTCAATATATCATTTTTCTGTGTTACTAAAAGTAATGAATTATGGATTTTAATTGCAATATAAATATTAAAAAAATGGGTGAATTACTAATGTCAATTTAGCCTTTGTTGTTGTGTTTGATATTTCCTCATTTTATGTTTGGTTTCAATGTTTCTATTTAATTGCAACGCTTGCCAATGCATAATTTATAATTTGATAAATCTAATTGTCAGTAAGTGAAAGTAAATAGAGTTGATATTTTGAAAGTATATATTGTCTCGCTATATTTTTAGTTAAGTAGAATTCATTAAAGACAATCAAAGCATAGTGTGTGAATAGTGTAGAAGTAGAAACGTTGCAATAAAAATAAACGTAGGAAGTAAGCTCTTTTGAGAGCTATATAAGATGATTTGTGTGGACTATCTTGTTACTATGAATTTGAGAATTGTTGTGATGAATTGGTAGTAATGTGGCTGTTGTGTTGGTTTAGATGATGGGCCGGGATCGTTAAGGGAAGCGTGTCGAAAGAAGGAACCACTCTGGATTGTATTTGAAGTTTCAGGTACCATTGAGCTGAAGTCGTACTTGAATGTATCGTCTTGTAAGACGATAGATGGACGTGGGCAAAGGATTAAGTTCACAGGGAAAGGGTTAAGGCTCAAGGAGTGTGAGCATGTGATTATATGCAATCTTGAGTTTGAAGGTGGGAGGGGACATGATGTAGATGGGATTCAGATTAAGCCGAATTCTAAGCATATATGGATTGATCGTTGCACCTTGCGTGATTATGATGATGGTCTCATTGATATCACCAGGCAGAGTACTGATATCACTATCTCTAGGTCAGTCACTGGATCTCGGAACTTATTCTACCTGAATTTTATATGATTTCTAGATCATTTTACAGTTCATTCTTCCAATTTTATGGAGGTGTTTGCATGCTGAATACCTTGATGCTCATCATAACTATTGTTTATGCTGATTAGTTTAATTTTAGTCAAGTGTTTATAATTTAAATTTGGAATACCTTTAAGTGTAGTTTTGGAATTATATTTGCATTATTTTTGTCAAATCCCTGATAAAGTGAATATTTTTTGTTTCCCAAGAACATCTGGCCATTCTTTTGGAGAGGGAGTAATATGCTTAGCTACAGAGGGTGTTAGGCAATTGGCTTTTTGCCTAGCGTTTGGCTTTTTAGTTTGGTCAAACAGCCAAAAAAATATGTTTGGTACTTGGCTTTTAAGCTGCTGCCAAAAGCCAAAAGCTAATAGGAGTAGCTTTTTCTATTGGCTTTTGGCTTGTTGGTCCACTTTATCACTAATAAACAGCTAATAACCATTAATAATTTTACCAAACACTTTTGTAAACAGCCGGCTTAAACAACTAACTTAAAAAGTCAATCCATACAGCTAATACTTGCAGCCAAGCAAACAAACCAACAGCCAACCGCCGATTGCCAAACAACCCCATATTTAATTGGTTCAATATCTCTCTTTTGTTCCACAGGTGTCATTTCTCTCAGCATGACAAAACAATGCTCATTGGAGCAGATCCATCTCATGTTGATGATAGATGCATTCGGGTGACTATTCACCACTGTTTCTTTGATGGAACTCGACAAAGACATCCTCGTGTGAGATACGGGAAGGTTCATCTTTACAACAATTACACCAGGGGTTGGGGTATTTATGCTGTCTGTGCCAGTGTAGAATCTCAGGTACTGAGCTACAACCTTAAAAAAATCAGCTTCTCACTTGTAGAATTTAGTCTACCTGTGTAATAGCTTAACTTTAGAAACTACTCTGTCCTCAGATATATTCTCAGTGCAACATTTATGAAGCTGATAAGAAGAAAACAGCTTTTCTGTACTATACAGAGAAGGTAAACTCTTTCTCTTCTTTCTACCTTTGTCTTTCCTTTGATGCAGATTGTGGTAGTTTAATTATCCAATTCCAGAAGGGTAGCAGTGATCTTGGTGTCGTTTTATTAGTATTCTTTCTGAGATCAAGCTCATTGCAAAGTGCAATAGCCTTCTGCAATGAATTGGAAGGTCGGAAACAATAGGCCACAGGACTATGATGATTCCGGTACACTTTCTTTTATGATGAATAGCATAGCTTATGTCTCTTATTACGTGATGTGCATGCTATCTTTGCTATAGTGCGGTGACTTTCTTGTCAATGATTCTGGGAATATGTTCCTATTGTCTCCTGCTTCACATGATCTGCATATTTTGTATTGTACTTAATTAGCAATTTGTGGTTTTTGTTGGAGCTTTGCTGATTTTCTGTATGTGCTCGTGTATTGACATTGGGTCCCCACACAACCATCTGTATAATGCTCTGTGTCATTGCATTAGGGCTGAAAATTTGAAATCAGTATAATGCTAAATGTTTAACATGTGAGGTCTTTTTCATTTGTCCTGATTCTGTTATCTATACATTAATTTGCTTCACTCAGGAATGGAGGTTGTAAGTGAACGAGAAAATATTAATGGTAAAAAAAAACCATGGATAAGATTTTGGTAATCCGTATCTTAGGCGATATTATTTTTCTGAAAAAGGATAGGAATACTGATTATTATATTTGGTTATAAAAGTTTGACATTTCATTTAATTGTCACATTTGGGTGGATTGTGTCTGGGTGGAGGAGGATTTGGTTGGGCAGGGTTAGGGACTAGGGTCAGTGGTTACTCTCTGGATTTTACTTCATCTACATTAATGGGAACAATCCAGGTCCACTATCTTTTCTGAGTAAATTCCTCTCCGTTGATGGCTTCACCTGAATTAACCCTCTTGTAGTTTTATAGGGGATGGAGAATCTGAACTGTCTACTCAGATGCAAAAGTTATTCTTACATTGTGTGTACATTATCTTTTGTCTGGATTCTGAGGTTAACAATAACATTAGGACTGGCAGGCTAGTTCTTGTTACACACCTGCGATATGAGTCTGTTTGCTGAAATACTGGTTGTGATTCCTTTCTTGAGGGATTTATCCTATATGCACCATTATGTTGCTGAACATTAGTGTCGATTTGGGGTGCTTAAGCTTAACATCTGATTATTGAGATTTTTGTACAAAAAAGAAATCCCATTTCACATGCAGATGCATTTGTCTGTGATTATTAGTAATCAGTTGATCATGACCATTAATTTGCCAATCTGCCTGATGATGCAGGCCACTGATAAAGAACAAGAAGCTACTGGAAGCATAATATCTGAAGGAGACCTCTTTTTAAATGGCGCTGTATCAGGAGTAAAGCCATTGGCGAATGAAGAGACTGTGTTTCATCCCAGCGAGTTTTACAGTGACTGGACATTGGAACCTCCTACTGAATCCCTTAAACATATTCTCCAGCATTGTACAGGATGGCAGAACATTCCTTGCTTGCCTGAAAATCTCTCTGATGCTTAGTCAGGCTTACTATGCAGCAATACGAACAACCAGAACATCACCATTCTTCTATAAATATAAACATATACAGGGAGATTAGTCATCGTTTGAATATTATAATAATGTAGATAGATAGTCAGTATTTACCATTTCCGTGATATGACTAATAATAATAATAATGTTCATTTGCTGCAAACTAGAAATGCTGATAAATAAGAAAAACTCGTTCTTGTCATCGCTGTCGTCAAGTGTGTCTTGTACCCCAGCCTGAACTGTATGCAAATCTTCTGTGGGGTTATCTCCTTTTTCCTTTTCCTTTTTGTAGACCAAAGATGATTGAATAGTGAATTAATTATGATACTATTAGATAAGTTGCTAATCTGTTTGATTCTTGCACCATGGATTGTCGGCATCTCTTTTTGATATTGATATGATGCACATTATATGCCTTTGTGTAAAGGCCGATTTGCTAGCTGTGGGATCTTTCGTTCATTCGATAAGGAAGTATCAAGAGGAAAACAAATCTACTACTCCGTACTCCGTATCACAGATGAAATTGGAAAAAAAAAAAGGATTCTTCTCAGATAGTGAGATGAATTGAAATCAACAGAAAATTAGCATTGGATTTCACAGAGCTCAGCTAAGAATTTGAAGATGGTATCATTAAAACAATTCTTTCTCGTGCTTAAAATTGATTTCTTATTATTATGGGATAATTTTGTACATTGATTGACCGACGATAATAGTCAACGACTGACGATACAAAACCAAGTCAAGATAGTTATGGGTGCTCTCCAAAGTCAAGGAGAGAATAATTGCCATCAAGAACAAGTCATAGAAGTTGTTGGACATATCTACACCCTAAATAGGTCCACATTCATTAGAAGACTAAGCAAAAGAGTTAACCACCCTTCCTAAATTCAAGGATTCATGATCATCTTTCTCCAACCGCCTACTTGAAGCCTTATAAATAGAGGAGTCTCCCTCCAGTGAAGATCATGGATATCCCACGCATAATACTACTCCTCCTAATCCCAAATTCATCCTATGAAAAATGATCCATTAGCAACTAACAAAATAACTACTCTGATCCACCTCCTGCCAACCTCCGAAAATACCCATGAACCTCCCTACATTAATTTCATCCATCTTCCACATCTACATTTCACTAAAGAAACAACTATTATATATTCAATACAAGTTCAACCCAAATGACATACTACTTCAAGTGAGCCTCCTGACTATACTACAAAGACGACGTACAAGTTAATTACCTTTGTTTCTATACATGCTTTATTGTTATCAATTATTATAGACATATTGTACTTGTAAACATTGGCCTTATGCCCGTATTATAGTAGATTGGTGGACTCATTGCCACCAGCAATTTTTACCTATCTTCATCGGGGTTTTCCGCGTCACCATATCATGTCTCCCCTCTCTCTCTTTATTTTCTGTCATTTATATTCCACATCCAACGTTCCTTATTTTAATTTAGTTGATCCGTAGCCCCCACATCAAATCCTAGATATGAAATTTAGCTTAAACACTTATTATATACGAAATAATTAATATATTGTTTTATAGATTAATAAAATTACTCGTAACATAAATTAGTAGATACTAAACAACATCGTAGAGAAATTTCATCGTCTTTTAGAAACGATTCACTATAATATATGTATGCTCGAAACTTATTTAGAAAAGAAGACTCATAAATTCAGACCAAGATCCAAGAGATTATGGGAACCTTACAAAACAACTTCAAAAAGAAGTACGTAATCCTAAAATCTTTCTCAAAACTAAACACCAATCAGAATTATCCTAGAACTACTCCCTTTTTGTATGTTAAATCAATTGTACATTTATTAATGATATCGACAACTAGCATTAACAAATGATAGTTTGCTACATGTCTTACAATCATATCATTTCATGTGAGTGATATTTTTTTTTTTTTTTTTTTTTTTAAAAGTGAGATACAGGAAATCGAAAAGTAAAAAACTAAAACCATGAAATTACTTTTTAACAATTCCGAGTACATAGATGAGGGAAAAAAAATACCTACGAAATACGAAATATATTTTTGTAGCGAAGTAAGAGATTTTAGATAAAAGACATGTTCGACTATATATATCAACAAATCTTTAAAGAGTGTTTGGTTGAAAGAGGATTTAAATAGAGTTTTGAAAAAAAGTTAATTTTGACAAAGCCAATAGTACAAGCTTCTTGATGAGTGGAGTATGTGGTAGTTGAGGGGAACTGAGTACTCAATTGAATCGTCAACCTTAAAGTTGATCAAATATATTGAGCTACATTACTACTCATTACCAAGTTTGTTCAAACTAATACTTCGTAACATATTATGTATATGTCCTTATTAGTCAATTATAAATAAAGTAGTTATCAACTAACAACTATTCACAAATTACAATTCAATTTCACTTAAACAATTAAGGGAATCAGCTAGTGAAAAATAGTTCATAGATTCGTCAGTCAAATCAACTAATCTAATTAGTTAGTTTAAGCAAATCATACACACAAGACACAACTAACAACTAACCACTCAATGCCAAACTAAGCTAGTTTTTAAATGTTCTTACCACTCACTTTATTTATTTTTTGGCAAATCCTTTGTAAGTACTATTAATAATACGGATTTTTCATGAAATACCACTGAGTTTTTCCAAAATTCACCATATACCACACAAAATTTTTTAATTTACCATATAGCACTGAGTTTATGTACATTAACACAGAATGCCATTTTTTCTAACTGCCGTTAACGCCGTTAGTAATTAAGGTTAATTGTGCCACGTGGCTTTCACTTATTGGCTCTTATTAATATTATCTAATTAATTACTTAAATAAAGAATTAAAGAATTAAAAAATCAAAAAACAAATAAAAAAACCCACAGCCACCCCTTCATTCCCAAATCCGGCCACCGGAAACCATCCCCCTTCCCCAGCCCCGTCCCCTCCTCCCTAGTCTCACCGGAAACCCATCCCCCTTCCACAGCCGCAAGCCCGCAACCACCAGGCTACCATAGCCAACTAAGTTCCGTTCCACCATAGCCAACCTCGTCCTCCGCACCACCATCAAATTCTCTATCCTTCGCCGCAAGCCCACAACCACCAATCCACCATAGCCAACCTCGTCCTCTCCTTCGCCGCAAGCCCGCAACCACCAGTCCACCATTAACGTTTTTCTCCTCAAAAATCGACCACCGCACCCCCATCTACAACCCCCACAACCACCAATCCTCACTTGACCCCCTAAAACCGACCACCCAACCACCCTGAAACCCCCAAAAATTGACCACCCCGATATCCCCAAAAATCGACCACCGCAAAATCGACCCCCAGTCGACTTTTGGGGATTTCAAGGTGGTGGGAGTTCTGGAATAGTGGTTGGGTCGATTTTTGGGGGTGGAGGTGGGTCGCAACACCGGCACAAGGGGATTGGGGGGAGAGTGGCGCAGCATTGGGGCAGGTGAAGGGAGGGGTAAGCGCAGCCGGCCGGAGGCAGGTGGAGGTGGTGGTTGGGGTTACGGTGGCCAGGTAGGGGATAAGGGTTTTTTTATTTTTTTTTTATTTTTTGATAATTAATTAAATAATTATTTTAAAGTTAAATAATTTAAAAGGCAACCAATTACAAGCTGCCATGTGGCACAATTAACGTTAATGACTAACTGAGTTGACGGAAATGACATGTTGTGACATTTATTTTAAACTCGGTGCTATATGGTAAATTAAAATTTTTTGTATGGTATATGGTGAATTTTGGAAAAACTCAGTGGTATTTCATGAAAAATCCGTTAATAATAATATGCAGAGCATATTCATTCCCTTATACTTTATCAAACCTATTGGTTTGCACTCATATATCTATTCTTCCGTAGTTTATTTTATTCATTTTTTTTTTTAAACTCACTCACCGTATTAACAATCTCTTTAATCACCTTTATTTGCGTGCAAACAAAAAATATTAATAATGTTCGAAAACAAAGAATTATACAAGAAATTTATAGCTACAAAACTTCATTTGTACTAGGCTAGCATGTAATAATCCATATTATTTAATATTTGATGTCCTTGAGATCAGAAGTGAGCATTTTCCTCTAAAAAGGAGTGGAGGAAATCATAGATGGTTCATTGAATTTTGTAAGGGAGTAAACATAACAATCAAAATGGAGTACAAAAGCATGTCATTTTGTGTTTTGGCACTCCCCATAACTTTGATACCTTCAACTTGTAGTAATTCTTCTTCTTCTTCTTCTACTTGAGAATTACGTAGTGGGATCTTCATGTGTATAGATATGTGAGGGGCCACCAACAACACTACGTTTAGGGAGGTTTCACTAGGACGTGCCTTTGAGTTGGCTCGTAAACTGCCAAACTTTGCCGACATTGGCTATATTAACCAAATTACGAAAATTTTAGCTATTTTTTTTAGACTAATTATATGTGGTTAACCATTTTTTAAGAGTAATTAAATGGGATTATCTGTTAATTAGTTGAGCTTGTTTACGTACACAAAAAAACATAGCCGAGGATTCTCACTCCTCTCCCTTATCCTTTTCTTCCTTAATTAATATCTAATGCATACCTTTATAGTGTAGATGTTCGTTAGTCTTCCAATAGTAGAGATTGGGCCTCCTTGTAGTGAAATATTTGATTATTAGGATTGTTGTTCATTCTCCTTTGAGAATTATTATGTGTCATAGCCTATAAAAGAGTTTACAACCTTTGCATTGGAATCAATTCGTTGATAAGGATTTGTGCAGGATAGCAAAAATTATCAAATATTCAAATGCATTAAGATAATTCGCATGAGAATCATTATCACTTTTGTAATAGATTGTTAGACTATCTCTTCAAATGTATATTCCAACGATATGTGCAAAACATGTATTACACTGCAAATGTAAGAAAATTTTATTTGATACAATCATCGACATATTTGATAAAATAGATGCCCATAGTAGATTTCGCATGGCTCTTTGTTAAATCATTATATTTAGTCCAAAAAATATTGTTCTAGTAGTACACATTTTATTGTCTCATTAATTCAATATTAATCACCTCCTTAAGTTTTATACCCGGGTTTCAAATGACATCATAAAGATAATTTAAAAATTTATTTAAGTTGAAGTTTTGAAACAAGTGCTTGTGCAAATGACATCATCGTTGGCCGTGCTCGTGCAAATGACATCATTGTTGGCTTACTAGTCA